CCTCCCTGGGCAATTTATCCCAGGGCTTAACCTCCCTGACAGTTAGGAAGTTTTTCCTAATGTCCAACCTAAACCTCCCTTGCTGCAATTTTATCCTATTGCTTCTTGTCCTGTCCTCAGAGGTTAAGAACCATTCTTCCACCTCCTCCTTGTAACAACCTTTTATGTACTTGAAAACTGTTCTCATGTCCCCTCAGTCTTCTCTTCTCCAGACTAAACAAACCCAATTTTTTCAATCTTCCCTCATAGATCATGTTTTCTAGACCTTTCATCATTTTTGTTGCTCTTCTCTGGACTTTCTCCAATTTGTCCACATCCTTCTGAAATGTGGTGCCCAGAGCTGGACACAATACTCCAGCTGAGGCCTAATCCGTGTGGAGTAGAGCAGAAGAATTACTGCTCGTGTCTTGCTTACCACACTCCTGCTAATACAAAAAAAGCAAACATCATTCTGGGCTGTAACAGTGTTACATTGACTCATATTTAGCTTGTGATCCGCTATGACCCCCAGATCCCTTCCGCAGTACTCCTTCCTAGGCAGTCATTTCCCAGTTTGTGTGTGTGCAACTGATTGTCCCTTCCTAAGGGGAGTACTTTGCATTTGTCCTTATTTAATTTCATCCTGTTTACGTCAGATCATTGTATTTCACTGCAGTGTTTGCACTCTAGCCCAGAGGGGAGCAGGAGAAAGGCATTGCTGTGGTCCTGGGACAAGATCCCTGATCAAACTTGCTGATTGTAAGAATATTTCCAGACCGCTCACAGGCTACCTTATGGACCTAGCAAAGCAGACCTGCCCTGCTCATGGTAGCAGAACCACTGCTAACTCCTTGCTCCAATCCAAGGAGCAGGATTATGTCTGTGTCAGTACAGAAGGCCCCGCCCCACTGATCAGCGGCAGTGTAGCAGGCCAGTGAAGTCTCTACATTCCCTTTATACCCACGATAACACCCTACTTTTATCAACACCCCCTCTGGCTCGTACCTAGGGGCAAATACTGGGGTTACACACTGGATTATAGACTATGCTTATGTACTTATTAGCAACAACTCTAAAGCCTATTTGAATTGGACTCTTGGGACTTTCCTTGTTTATCTGGAGTATAGTCTAGCAGGGCCCATACCCTCTTCCTCTGCCCTGTCCCTGAATCAGGGACGTTCCAAGAACGCAGTCACAGGATATCTGGCAAGCCAAAAAGGCTTGGTTTGCACTCCCCCACAAGAAGGGTCCCCTACGTGAAACCTAGGCTGCGTTTATATTGCTTGTCTATTGCTAGCTGATAGCTGTGACCCATTCGCTACACATGGGTCCTGACCATCTAATGTGCAGTAAATTCACCTAATGGCTATTTCCCGGCCTTACCCGGATCTCTGTCCCTCCCAGGAGCAGACTGGTGGCATTCCGGGGACTGGGAGCAGAGTCCTGCCCTCCCCCAAGGACCGCGCCGGCTCTGCGGCCCAGACATGCAGTGGGTGGTGAAGCTCTACGTGCTGGGTGCGTTGCTGTCCCTGCTGTCGGTTCTCTTTGGATTGATGGACTCCCTGGGCAGCCTGCTGACCCCTCGGGGCCTGGAGCAGTGCCTCTCCGGCCCATGGACAGAACCGGAGGGCGGCCTTGCCGAGGGCCAGCTGAAGATCCTCCAAGGGCAGGCGAAGCGAAGGACTAACAAAGCCTTTGGGTCGTACCTCTGAGCTCTGGGGGGGACGGACTGCTCCCTGACGGCCCACCGTGGTGCTTGGACTCTGGCTTTGGCTCCTGGGGGCTGTGGTGCTGGTGTCTTCCTTCCTCTGAGATGAAAGGCGGCAAGTTCTCACGGGCCGGCGGCTACTGTTGCCTCCGAGCTTCTGGCCTGGGGGTGGCTACTTGGCTAACGTTCCTGCTAAAGTGACGCAGATGGCAGGGCCACGGTGTAGGGTTACCATATTCAAACTCTTAAAAAAGAGGACACTCCATGGGGGCCCTCGCCCGCCCCGGTCCTACCCCAACTCTGCCCTGTCCCCGGCTCCACCCCTTCCCCACCCACATTCCAACCCCTTCCCCAAAGTCCCTGCCCCAACTCTGCCCTCTCCTCTGAGCACCCTGCATCCCCCTCCTCCCTCCCGCTTTGATCTTGGTTGGGGGTTGCTAGGTGCTTCCCTGCAGCCCCTGCACCCCCCCCGCTCTTGCAGCCTCTGTGCACCCTCGCCTGCCCTGCCCCTGCGCCCCCTACCCCTGCAGCTTCTATGCCCCTGCCTCCCTTGCTCCTCCTCACCCTGCAGCCTCTGCACCCTCTCTTCCCCCCTCCCCCCCGGCCTTCCCTGCTCACCTGGCAGCCTCTGCCTGGCGGGGGCTTTGGATGCTCAGCGGCGACTGGGGCAGCGCAGGTCCCTGCAGCCCCGGCACATGCCGCACTCCTGCCCCACGCCGCAGCCTTCTTCCTGCCGTGCAGGGTGACGGGGCCGCAGGAAGGGTCCCCCAGTGGCCGGGGAGTCCCGAGCCGCTGGCTGGGCCCGGCCTCCCCATGGTCCTGCGGGCTCGGCTGGGGCACGCGGGCCGCCCGGCCTCCGGGGGCAGCAGCGGCCCCTCCGCCACCTTCTGTGGCTGCGCCCCCCCTTCTTCCCCCGCCAGAGCTCGCTACCATGTAGCCGGGCGGCTGGGCTGCGCTGCGGACCCGGTGGGTTCTGCTGGGGCCGGGCGGACCCTGACTTATGCTGCCTCCCTATTTCCCCGGACATCTCTGTTTTTTTGGCAATTCCCCCCGGACAGGGATTTGAGCACCAAAAAGCCGGACATGTCCAGGGAAATCCAGACGTATGGTAACCCTACACCTGTGGGGTTGGGGGGGTGTCCTGTGCACAGATCCCTCTCCAGTCTGCACCCCTACCATGCAGAATGGCCTGGTGCAGCGGGGAATGGGAGGCTCCGTGGCTGCGCTTGGCGTGAACGCTGAGAGCGGTGGGGGCTGCTGCAGAACAGGGGCCTGGCTCGCGGTGGCTGCCTGGAAATGCAGTTGCACTGGGTTGTGGGGAGGGACGTGTGCCGGGTGGGTGACCCTGGGGGGGGATTTTGAGCTGTGTGAGGTGCTGGTATTGCCCTAATGAAATGCCTCTCCAAGGGCGATGAGCA